CCAGTCAAGGGCATGTACCTTGATTGCGGGCACATCCTCAGTAGGGCGTGTGCAAAAGGCAGCTGATCGATGACTCTTTCTTATCGATGTTTCTATCTCTCTATCTCTCTCCCTTCCTCTCTGTACAAAATCAATAAAATATTTTTTTTTTTAAAAATAGTGTCTCGGGAAAGTCAAAATCTGAATGTGAAAAGGTTTTTGGAAAGGCTTAGTCAATGTATTCCTCTTTTGTTTTCTTTTTATGTTTGCAAAAGACATGTAAATAAGTTTAAAAGAACAGTTCTCATAAGTATAAAATACAGCATTAGATCACATTGGCACCATTTTTTCTCTCTTAGACTCAATAAATGTAGTGTAATTTACATCCATAACAAGTGAGAAGATGCAGCCGTAAAAACCTGATTTGTTCATAGGTTGTCCAAGATCTCTCTTCAAGTGAATGGCACATGTAGGATTAGAATTTATGAGACCTTAATCCTTGCCTCATCCACTTGAACATCACTTAGTGCCATATTTCAGAAAGGTTGGTTCTAAGTAACCAAATCAAGGGCCCACTAGAAATGGTCAGCCTAAAATACAGCCCTTCTACAGACCAAACCAATAAGATTGGTCTATATGGGTATAGAGTCCAAGGGCATGCATAGGTATGCAAGGAAGTATACCCATTGTCATGTGTGTCACTGAATTTTTTGCTAATTATCAACTATCATTTTTTGAAAATACCCAGTAGCCTACTTGTCTGCATCCCTCTTTTCATCTTTAAGTTCATTCTCACACAAAAGGAACTTTTGTGTGTGTGTGTGTGTGTGTGTGTGTGTGTGTGTGAACTTTCACAATTAATAATCATAATACATAGAATTATTAAATTAAAATTGACAATATTTTACCATTGCTAACCTACAGAATCAGGAAGTTTGTGTGGTGCAACTTAATGGGTAATATACGAAATTTTCATGTAAAGCACTTCACAATCAGAGAAGAAGACAGACCTCCATTCATCATTTTTGAGAGCTTTCTAAGTACAATCTCTCTCCCATTGAAGCTTCTACCAGTTCTGTGGGAGCCTCTGAATAACACTTTTTTTGTAGATGGTCCCCTGTGAAGACCTTCATTTGATCAACTGCATCCTATATAATAAAAGGCTAATATGCAAATTGACCAAATGGCAGAATGAATGGTCGCATCACATGTACTGACCACCAGGGACTGACACCCAATGCAAGAGCTGGCCCCTGGTGGTGAATGCACTTCCACAGGGGAGCACTGCTCAGCCAGAAGCCCTGAGCAGAGCTCATGGCTGGTGAGCACAGTGGCAGTGGGTGGGATCCTCCCTAACCTCCACGGCAGTGCTAAGGATATCCAATTGATAGCTTAGGCCCACTCTCCCTAAGACATCTCCCAAGGACTCCCAGACTGTGAGAGAGTGCAGGCTGGAATAATGAAATGTCCCGAGTGCACGAATTTTATGCACCAGGCCTCCAGTATATAATATTCTATGTGGTTGTTTTTTGTTTTTAACTCAATAAACAAAAAAAATTGTACACTTAACAGGAGTTGGCCCCCAGTCTCAGCTTTACATACAAAGATTAGTGCATCATAGTCCCTACGCTCAGAAGCATTCAGTCTAGGAAGGAAAACAGTCATGGACATAATTACAGGGCAAAACAGCAAGTCACCTAATGGATATAAATAACGCGCTGAAAAGGCACTTACCCTGCCTGGAAGAGCAAGAAGACCTCAGAGCAGGTGACATTTAAATTGGCTCTTAAAGGATGAGCAATTTAATTGGCAAAAAGGAGGGAACAATGCAACATCCCCAAGCAGAATGGCTTGTTCGAAGTCACAGAAGAACAAAGAAGGATATGTTTGAAGAACCTTCGTCTGAGTGTAGATGGGGCATGTGAGTGAAGTGGCAGGAGATGAGGCTTGAGTGGAGGTAAGGTCTGGTTATGAAAGGCCGGCCCATGTGGGGCCGAGGAGTTTGCATTTTATTCCGCAGGAGGAGAGAAGTTGCAAAACACATTGAAGTGGGCTTAAGGAGTTTAGTAATAAAACTTCTTTTTCTGCTCTGAATTTTTATGTTCAGCCCCATCACCACCTGAGTTTATAGAAATGTTACGTCAGCAGCCCCGCAGCAGGCTTCCGCAGCATGAGCTTCTGCAGGGAGGGGGCTCTTTTTATCCAACCTGGATTTTGAAGGGGTTTCAGGCCTGGCATCTCTCTTAAACACAGTCATTGAGCTGTGGTTCCTCACTGTGGCTGGAAACATAGCCAAAGGCTGCATTGTTTTGAGAGATTGTGGCTTTGACAATTACGTGCTCCTTCACTGCAGGGCTATCTACTTCGCTTGGGTGAAGGAGCTTGCCAACACAAACTTCATGTTTTCATATTTTCCTCATTGGGTAATTGCAGAATGGGTGATTCCACCTAAATGCAGCAAGTTTGATTTCATCCAAATGCAGACTGGCTAGTCAGTAGCCCAGTATTCCGGTCACATGATCTGGCCTGTGGCATTCACCACCCATCAGATGAAATTACACAGCACTGATAAATTACCAACTCACTCCTGGACAGAACGTTTCCCCTTAAACTCCCTCCTCCTTAATACTTGTGTAAAGTTTAATAGGGCCATGGTTCATCGATAGAGGGATATCAACGGTAATGTATCAAAACTTGACCACAAATGGAGATTTATATGTGAGTGTATAAATTATACATAGATAGACACACATATGAATATATATATATATGAATACATATAAATGAGTTGTCCCATTTATATGAATTTTCTGAACCCATAAAGCTCTATCAAACATTTTTGTTTGTTTTGAAAATTATACATAGACACGTTTATAATGTGTATATATATATATATATATATATATATATATATATATATATGAATGCATTATTTCATTTATCTGAATCTTTCAGATCCACAAACCTATGCAACTCTCTAAATAAGTCCTGGTACCAATTGCAACATTGAGAGGGGTCCCCCCCACCCCCCAAGCCAACAAGCAATTCTCAGACACCAGCAGGATATCCAAGAATTCAATTCTGACACATCTACCCAGAGGTAACATCAGGTAGCACAGGTTAAGAGTTTAGTCTACAAGACTAATGATTGAACTCCATCTTCAGACCCTGTCCTCTGTAATCACAGGGTTGGCTCCACTGGCACCAGTCCCCATCCTTAATTTTTTGACTTTCCAAAAGTCACTTCATTAACATAACAAAGGGCAACTATCACTCTCAACACTTAAGAAATTCCAAGTTTTGGGAGCTGTGAGTCAGGAATTGTGGGCAAGACCTGATATATATGGAAAATAAATGTTGATCATCTGAATAATCTAATATGTATTTCTTGTAAATTATACTATCACACAGTGAAATATGCCATTAGTACTTTGATAGGAGTTGTGGTGAATCTATAAATTGCTTTGAGAAGTAATGGACATTTTATTTTTTTGTTAATCTTCACCTGAGGATATTATTCCCCTTGATTTTTAGAGAGTTGAAGTGGGGAGAGAGAGAGAGAGAGACATCAATGTAAGAGAGATACATAGATGGGTTGCCTTTCTAGGCACCAAGGCCTGAGCCCGGGATCAAATCTATCATCCTTCAGTATGTGTGTTGATGCTCTAACCCTTGAACAGCACTATCCAGGGCTAATATGGACATTTAAAATTTAGTCTTTTTGGAAATATTTCCAAAAGTGTTAGAAATGTGAGTTCCAGACTTAGCCTGCTTTGTTTGAATTCCTTTTTCTTCACTTCTTAGCTTTCTATCCTTGGATAAGCAACAATCTTTCTGAGTCTCAACTTTCTCATCTCTAAAATGAGAATAAGTGTAACCACCTAATAGGGTTGCTGTGTGAATTCAATGGGGTGTACATGTAAAGCATTTGGTATCTGTGAAATTCAAGCAAAGCTAACAATGAATACTTTGTGCACATCAGAATGGAGTCTTGAATATTGGGACTATTGTCGTGAACATTAATGATTACAGGAAAATTAATAAGCTGGCACCCTTGGGTCCTATTAGGACCCAGAGAGTTATTTGTTCCTTCACTAAATGTCCCTGGACTATTCTGAAATTGCTAATTTATATAAAAACCTAACAATGTTCTTCCTCCCTCGTGCTTCACTGACAAATCAAATCATCTGACTTGTTAAAATTCCATCAAAGCAGGAGAATAAAAGCTCTGACCAGGTGCCTCAGCCTGTCCTCTGGTGCCTGTCTCTTTTAGCCACTCAACAATCTCTTCTGCTGATTTCAAGATTATTGGCTCTGGAATTGCCAAATACTAAATACTACAGCATAATTTCACATATAAGTGGAATCTAAAAGAGTCAAGCTCATGGAAACAGAGAGTAGAATGGTGATTGCTAGTCCTGATGGAAGAGAAAATGGGGACATGTTGGTCAAAGGGTACAGTTACAGTTATAAGATGACAGTCCTGGAGGTCTAATCTGACTATAGTTAACAATACTGTGTTGTGTACTTGAAATATGCTAAGAGGATAGATCATAAAGTGTGCCATAAAACAAAATAACAAAAAAAAGTGAGATGATGGATATGCTAATTAGCTTGATTATGGTGATTATTTCAGTGTCTACGCATATCAAAACATCTAGCTGTGCACCCTAAATATATTCCATTTTTATTTGTCAACTTGATAATCAGTAAATGATTCTGTGAATATCATTTCCTTCTTATAAAAAAAAACCTGTACTTTCAACTAATTGGGCATATCAAGAGATACTAATATTGAAGTTCAACAAACTTCTGATTATCTTATCAAATAATTTAAAATGCAAACATATAAGAATGTCACTGTAAACATAGGAGGTCATGGTTTTGTTTCCTGTGCTCCTTTGAGACATCTCTATTTCTCCAGATGGAGAAGCCTTCCCCAGGTGGGTGTTGACAGGATAGCACAACAGAGCACAGAATGTCAATTGCAATTACACCCCCCACACTTTTTCTTTTTCCAGGTTACAAATCCTGCTGCCAACACTCTTGGCCAAATGACTCTTCATCTGAAACCTCTCCTTGTGTGTGGAGGGGATGGATTCACTCATTCCAATTTTGATGGCTGCGTCGCTTCTGCCCTGTTTGTTCTGGAAGCTTTAAAGAAACATATTTAATATCTGTATCCTTTCTTTTAATTTTTCAGTTATATTTGACACCCAATGTTATGTTAGTTTCATAATTTTGGCCAGCATAGTGACTAGATATTTATAGAACTTGGGAAGTCATCACCCCAGTAAGTCTATTTAGTACCTGTACTCTTATTATCTACTAGTACATGTACTTTGGGTTTTTGTTTTCATAATTTTTAGTTATTGGTGTTTTGTTTTCTGTTTTGTTCAGAGAAATTACTGGAAAAATTGTTCTTCACTTGTCATTTTTTCATATGGAATTAAAAAAATCTATTTTGTAATATTGATAGTTACAATCCATGCTAGAATAAAAATTCCTTGGATCTTATACCTTTGTCACCTTTCTGAGTTGCCCTGACTATTCCTAGATGGAGGAAAAGTAAGGCTAAACAGTCCCCCAAAATTTTTGTCAAATTAAAGTAATAGTTCATGTTCCCAAACCTTTATTATTTTATTTTGAAATTTTTGTTTCTAAATAAAGAATAACTATTACCAAAGACTCATTTTTAATCTTCAAGTATGCCCTTGATTCAATATTTTTGCAAACTGCTGAACTTTAAGATCCCTCCAAACTGTGAATAACAGAGTGTAATTTTTTTTCTCGTTTCTCTCCCAAGTTATTAATGATCCTGAATTGTAGGTCAGAGATGTCCTTGTCTCTAGGATCACAGTTTGGAGGGCAACTTGACTGACAAAGTAACCTCTCTTCAAATTTTCAGAAAATAACCAGATTCAACTTGACTTTCCAAGCCACACAGTACTTTTTAACCTTAAAAACTCCAATCTTGTTACGATAGATAAGACATATTGATTTTTATCTTTTGTTATCTCTTACAGCTGCTGCTGTTTGTTACTTGTATGTATGATCCAAGTGCTGTGGCATTTAGACTGGGTCAAGTTTAATGCAACCAAATGAATTTAATGCAACCAAAAAAAAAATGTACTGAACCAAAAAATAGATGCACTTCAAATAGTTCAATATTTGCCAACTTAATGGCTGTAGCATGCTTCAGTGACAACCCAGTGACCTGCTGGCTTGAGAGAAATTAATCCCCAGCCTTCCAAATAAGCGACTTGTTGCTAATTTGAAAAGCAAAATGGCGAGTTTATTTTATGATTTTGAAAGGAAAGAAATTCAAACTAAGATAGTTCAATGAAAGACTTTTTATCTTGGTGGTAACCCACAGTTTCACACTTGCATGCCCACTAATCATACATACACATGCACAGTCCTGGTCACAACTTGCTTATATAGCTACAAAGTGGGTTTTGTGGTCCTATGGAATGTGATTACATGTGCCCTTTTAGCAATCAACTGATGAGAAACAGAAATGCCTCCATGTAGCTAATGTCACTTGTCACTTATTTTTGAAAGCAGAGAAAGAAAAAAGGAAAATTAATGTGATCTCTGCTATGCTATGATGAAAATGTTGAGACTTCTTTCATCATTTGGGCCCATATTTGGTTAACATTGTCTTTATTTGAGCTTTATCCTTAAAGTGTGGTAGAAAAACCATTCAAATGTATTAACTATTTTATTTTGGAGCCATTTGACTGAAATTATCCTGAAGCTTTAAGAACAAGGATATATTTGTCTCATGAATGTATATCCTCCAAAGAAGAGAAAAACAAAACAATGTGTAAAGGTGGGATGGGATACTTAAGGACAGAACTCTCCTAAGCCATTCCCGATGACTTTCAATATCTATTCATTCTGTGTTTCCCTAATAATTCTGTATGTAGATCATTGTTACTTTGCTATTTCAATCATTTTGAAAACTCGTTTTACATTTAGATCTATCTCTGATAGGAGCAGGCCAATTCCCTGATGCCCAGATAAGGAAGAAAAAAAAATGTATCAAATGTTTATATTCTTTGTTTTCATTCATCCCCAGCCCCGCAGAAATGAAATGGATATGGGGTGATCCTGTGCTGGAAACCATTCCAGCCGGCCGTGAACTCAGGTGGCCGGGTCACCCTGAGAGACCCAGGGCAGAGGTATCGGGCTCTCCTAGGAAAGAGGGGTCAGCACCGTCTGGAACGGTTGCCAAGGTGTATGTTTGTCAGCCCCACAGGACCACACTGCACCACGACATTTCCAAACAAGAACGTTTATTAATCATGCCAGCCAAGAAAAGCCACTCTCTTTTTGAAAGGAGCATATTCAAGACAGAAACGGTTTGAGCAGTGAGGTGATTTAATACTTGTTAGCTGATAAATATAGTCTTTGCCGGGATAAAACTGTTATGATGTGGTGTTGAAAGGCTTAATTACCAAACTGTCTATGTACGTTTTGCTCAGGCAGCAAGTGTGACAAATTATAGCAGAGGAATAGTATTTCTCACCTTTGGCATTTCTGAAGAGGAGAAGCATGTCTAAAAGCACTAAGAAAGCAGTAATAATCCTAGGACAGGTGGGGGAGGGAGGAAGACACTTCATTGAGTCACCAAGCTTTCTGTGCAAAATGCCATCATCCCCACCCCATCCCTACCCCCCACCCACCCATTACTATGTTAAGTAAAAAGAACAAAGTCCATTTTACTTTTATCTAGTATTTTCTACTCATCCAAGTATGTATAGAATGAATATATATCCACTTTTCATCCTTCTAATACCCTTGTGAAATATGCAAAGAATTCTTATTCACCTTTGACAGATGAGGAAACTGAGGCATGCCCTAACCGGTTTGGCTCAGTGGATAGAATGTCAACCTGTGAACTGAAGGGTCCCGGGTTCAATTCCTGTCAAGGGCACATGCAGACTTGATTTCCACTAGGGGGGCATGCAGGAGGCAGCCAATCAATGATTCTCTCTCATTGTTGATGTTTCTCTCTTTCCCTTCTCCCTTTCTCTCTGACATCAATAATATATATATATATTTATTAGTAAAAGAAACTGAGGCATGGAGATTGGCCAGCCAAGGTCACATAATGAGATGCCAGGACAAGACCCAAGCCTTCTATGACCACTTCTATTTACGTGGCACCATGTTGCTGCCATATGAACTTGATAATTAAACCTGAACTGAAATATTAGTTGGCATTACAGTCAGCACTGTGTGGTCCTGTTATTGATGTTTCATTTCAGAGAGGTAATGCCAATCCTGATGTGGTATATGCAGGAATCTAATATGGAGTAAAGTCTCCAATGATTTGTATTCTGTTATTTCATTTGCTGGTTTATTTCCTTCTTTGGGGGGTTCTTGCTGTGAGAAATAGCTGCATCACAATGACACTGAATATCAACGGAAAGTAATAGGTTAGCTACAGAATACATTAATCGTTTCTTTTTTGTTTTTTCATTCATTTTGTTTCATTCTCCTCTGTCATTTCTTTCTTCTCTTTTATTTTTTTCTCCTGCTTCTTCCCCTATGCCCAATTCTCCATTCTCAGAAATCTGCACTATAAATGCAATCACATTATGATTCATATCATTTGTTCTATCTTATTTTAATATATCCTTTTTTTTCTCTCTAAAATTTTAAAGCGGTTGATTCTGTATTTGATTCAAGTGGCCCAGATAATCATTATTTTGATTTTCAGAAGTGATGCAAGAATTTAAAACTGGCTGTGGATGTCGGGGATCTCAGTGCTGATAACCTAAAAAACACATGCAAAGCATGGGATCAGGCTCTGTGCTGGCACAGGGAACATATCAGCAATCTCCACCTAAAGGCTCTGGTCAGGGGAAGACAAGTCACATGAAGTGGAAGGCAGGGTCAAGGTTCATGTTGGTGTCATGGCAGGCAGTAAATTAGACGCTCTAACTCGTGAAGCTGGGGAATCTTCAGAGAAAGACCCCTGTTTCTTTAGGAGAGGGGCCCTGAACAGATGCAGAGATGCATCAGGCAAACACACCCCTCCACACCCAGCCTGGGCACACCTGGCTGACCCCAGGAATCCGAACTTCCTAGCAGGACAAATGGGTCCTTTCTGTGGAGAAGGCTCAATGGGACACAGAAAGTGGGAAGAGGAAAAAGCTTCAGTGAACCTCAGGGTTGCTCATGCAGTATTCTAGTCTGGAATGTGCTTGTGTCTCAGCCACTCTCAGCTGACCCGGTAAGCCAGGGAAGAAAGGAGTGGTAATGTGTCCTATGTTTCCTTCTCAACAGATAGCCATTATAGCCCAAGTAAGATTTCATAGCAAATTCATCAAATGGACCTGCTAAAGAGAAAGACTGTCTAGGAGAGTGTTAATTTGCAAGGCCTGTAGAACCACAGAATCCTGGAAATCGAGGTTTAGCGGTTTTAGAGACCATTTTGATCAGTTCTTAGCCATGTTGGATTTTGAATCCACTTAAGAATCTGGAGAAAACTATGGAGCTAATAGCAGCAACAATAAAGAGAACTATTCATGCACGCACATAGAATTTGCATACCATTTTAGAGCCTACTCTTGTAAATAAAGTTTTATTGGATCACAGCCTTGCCCATTCATTTGTGTATTGTTAGTGGCTGTTTCTGTACAACCACAGCAAAGATGAGTGTGTCAGAGACCATACAGCCTGCAAAGCCTAAAAAAGTTAACTCTCTGGTGCTTTAATAAAAAAAGAATGCTGACTCCTGTTTTAGGGGATTACAAATCCTCCAAAATCTATTTTTAGACACTCAGGAGTCTATGGACCTCAGATTAAGCATCTCTAAATCTTTATACCCCATGGTCTTATGTAAATACAGGCTTATCTTAGATCCACACATTTGGGCCATTGTTCCATGATCCTAAGCCCCATTGGAAATCTTTTAAGGCAAGAGTTTAGCTTTGTAGTTAAGAACACATTCTCTGGAGTTAAATAGATGAGTGTTTTACCCAGACTTTGCTCTTCTTTGTGTGACCTTGAGACAGACACCTCATCATCTGAAAAATGAGTTGATGGAAGCTACTCATAGAATTGTTGTGAGGCTTAAATATACAGAAAACCTTAGTGCTGGACATGTAGTAAGTGCATAATAAATGATAGCAGTGATGGTGATGATGATGATGAGAGA